GAATAGAAGTTGTAATGAACAACGCTCTACAAGCCAAGAGCTTGCTCATTTCAAAGCACAAGATCAGGAAATCTGGAAGTGCTCTCTATGTATTTCTCTATGTTATACACAAATAGTTTTAACTATTGAATATACTTTTGAAGGATTTATCCAAGGTAGATATGAATATATACTGAAATAACATTGTCTCAGGTTATCGGACAGTCATATGCAGTCATGCATATCTTGTAGCCTGTGATCTGACTTGCTGAGAATGAGAAACACTTATTTTTGCAAAACACAGTTAAAGGGGTCAAATCAACAAGATGTCTTGTTCAGCCAAGATAAAGTTCTATGTAAAATGCGAACAACACAGAACAACAGGAATTTTAATCAAAGGCACTCAGTAACCTATCATTAACTTCAATGGAACTAGAAATTGGCCTTCATTGTTTGGGGTCAAAACAGATTCTAGCGGTTCAGATTTCTCTAAAGCTGAACTTACTTTTTCTTTTTCTTTTTTTTTAATTGATTGATTTTTCAAAATATATTTGCAGAGACCAGCAGAGTAAACCAATATCAAACCACTCCTCCCTTTCAGGCAGTCTACCTAAGGTAGATGGCATTAATATGACAAATTACTCTTTGTGCCATGGTCCCGGATGTCAGTTTTATTGATCTTTTTGTTTTCCTTATGCTTTTACCCTATGACCATGAATTGTAGTAATTCTGACAGTCATTCTTTATAAAACAAATTGATTTGACTATTTAAACAGGTGTGGCACGTTCTAAAGACATATTTGTRGTAGCCCTACTTCATTTAAACAGTACAAATAAAGATCAAGTGAGCATAACAAATTAATGAAAATGGCTAAGTGCAGTGGATGGGGAGGGGAATGAATGTGTGCTTCCCATTTAAAGGTTCCAGACAGGTTTGGGCAAATATTTTCTGTATGATAGCAGGGCAAAACTGGAATGATCTCCTGAGATGCTGAATATGTGAAACTGGTAGACTCCAAATTACATTGAATAGAAAAAGGCAGTCAATATTTCTTGGAAGCAGGTTATTAAGCTTTCTGATATCTACAGTCATAGTCTCATCAAAGGTTGATGGGTTTTAGAACAAAAAGCACATTCACATTTATCTCAGAACCCAAAAGTATCACCCAAAGTATCAAAAGTATGTGGGAGCCCTTATCAGGATTGACTTTCCAAAGAACTGCATGCTGTACAAATAAAGGACAAAAGCAGCTGTGTTGAATAGGATTTATAACCCAATATTAAAATGATGGCAAGAACCAGAAATTCTAGAGGAAATGGGAAACAACAGAACAATATTGGGTTGCATTTTGGACAGAAACCCCAACATGACATCACCCAAAGTGGTGTTCTCTGTGTAGACATCACCACAAAGGTAACAGTGAAGGAGGGAACCGTAGCAGAAGAATGAGATGCCCAGATGCTCCATAAGCAAACAAAGTGGGTTGTGCCTCCTCAGGGTAGAGGAAGAACACTGGAGCTTTCCTGGTACAACCGGAGAGGTGACAGTGAAAGTAAAGATTCTGTGAAATGGGAAAGATGAGCTGCCACTGCACTGAAGAAAAATGCAAACACATGCCAAGCCTCCCTCTGAACCAAGGGAAGAAGCAAGACAACAAACACACACACACATCTTTTGCCATTCTGCTAGTATGTTATTTCTAAGCTAAAAATTGGACAAAAGACTTTCGCTGTTCATACAAATAAGGCCTAGGCTTTTAGCTTCAATAAGCTAAGGGGACATTATTTTATTTAGCAAATCAAGTTCAGGAAAGGAGTTCTCCAATAGGTAGGCCATTCTGTACATGGCTATGATGTGAGTCTCTGACTTACCTTTCCCTCTCAAATCTGATTTTTTAAAAATTTGGCCAGAGCTGCAAAAAGCTAAGCAGCCATCACTAAACTCAAATTTTCATTTTGTGGCCAGCTTTACAGCCTATTGATGGCAAAGTCTTTTTGCTGTGGGAAAAAAACAGGCCATTTTTTTGTGTTTCCTTGCACTGGAGACAAGAAACAAAACAAAACAAGCAACAACAACAACAAAGCCAGAAAAAATGTAACTGAATTGATTCATTTTCAGTCACCTAAAAAAGGTTCAGTTACTAAAAAAGGTTCATTCTCCTGAAATGGGCAGCCCCAAAGCTGACGTCATTATCTGCAATAAATACTGGCAGAGAAGGACAGGCACATATACCTATATAAATACAGAGTTAGAGTGAGGAGAACCTCTAATTCTTACAGCTCATTTCAAGATATAGAGGGACTCTAGCTGGAGAAAGGTAACGTATGCAGAATTTAATTTGGGTATTAGAAATTATATATATCCATATCTATATTCATAGAGGCATTTGTTCAGAACTGATTAGGTGCTCTTACAAAGAGGAATGAAGTTAATATCTGTCATGTGAAACTGGGTGATTAAAAGAAATGCCTATTTGCAACTTTTCCAAAGGCAGAATTTAAAAATGTCTTTAGATAAAAAAGGTAGCCCTTTGACTCCCTTACTTCAGACTTCAATAGCTGAAGTAACTGAAAAGACAAATATTCCCACTATCATAAACTTTTAGATCTGCTACATACTGAAAGTTTTATCATCTGGCAGGAAAAAAAGGCTGTGCTGAGCAATGAAGCATTAAGGGAAAAAAAAAGCCTAGACTGTACTTTTCAAAAAGATTTTTTCCTAAATTTTTAATTGTTGGATTCTTTTATTTTTACCTTAAATCAGAAATGCATTAAATATAGTTTAGTGTATTAAATACTATTTATATAGATCTGAGAACGGTCATTTCCATTTTCAAAGTCATTACTTTGAAAGTATTTCCAAATAAATTTACTCCAAGGAGTGGTTTTGATTGTACAGTTGGAAAACTGTAAATATGTAACAATGTTTGAACCAAGTTTAAGTAAGTTTTGTATTTTGGTTGTTTCACTTGCCTGGGGAATCCCAGGTTTTCTAAGAATGAATTTATTTCTGTATATAATACTAAAAGACAATTTCTGTACTGGAGGAAAAGTTAACAACTCTTCTGCAGCCAAAGACATCCCTCCAGTCTGAGAATTTATTCTTTAATAAAAACAGTAGAGACACCTACCTTTATCTTTGAGGGCAACTGGGTGAATTCACTGATGTGATTTCCTTGGCAAGCGTGGGAAAAGCAAAGACTGAACCTCTGAAAGACTTGGAGTCTTTGGAGTAATAGTGTGTTCTGTTAATCTAGACTATGCAATGGAACACAACACTGTCCTGTCCAATCTAACCGTAGCCTATCTAGCTACAGGAGCATTATAGTCACCAGATCACATCATTTTGGTGTTTTTGTAGGACAAAATCTTACCTCTGATTTTCTTAGAGGTAAGATTTCTTGGCCTAGGCAAACTGCCATCATCATGCCATGATGAAACTTGCTGGATCCAAATTCTTATGCATGGCACAGTTGCAGTGCCTTTCTTATTGGTGTATCTGGGGATTACTACCTTACAGTGTGTGGAGTTTATGCCCCCTCCTCACCACACTAAAGTAGGTAGGAAAACATTTCTAGGTGAACTGGTCTTTAATGGATGTTTCCACAAAGATTTTACAGGTAATATGGATTTGATTGAACTCATGTCATTTAATCCTATACTATGCAAGTCAGAAGAAAACATTGCTTTTTCTTTTCTTCTTTGGCTTAATTTCCCTAGCAATAGGTTGAGGTTCTGCATAACTGGGCATATAAAAAGATGTAGAAGCTTTGTTCCAACAGTGCCTTCTTCTGGTATAGTAACTGATGCCTGATATAAATGAACACATTGTTGTGAATATTGACACTAAGAACTTTTGGCTGGGTATGTCACATGGTACATTTATATTCTGTGATTGAGTGACCTGCAGTTTCAGTGGAAAGTCTTTATTCTTCTCTGTTGTAGAAACCATGGATGTTTCTGACTACAGTCATTGTCTTAGGTTCCCTTGGAATGACCTCAATATTAAATGCTTGCATGAGCATCATTAATCAGTCCCTTTACCATGACATTGTATACTAACTGAATTTTGTCATAATCCAAACTACTGCAAACTAGTGTGGAATATCCATGAAATGTTAATAAAAGAGACCACTCACACAAAGGAAAACATTTGAAAACATCATGTTTTTCAGTGTTCAGTTAGACTTTTCCCAGACCATCTGCACATGAATGAATTTTGCTTTCTTTACTCAGAAATTTAGTCACCAGGAAGGATAAGGAATGGATCTGCTTGTCTCCAGAGACCACAATCATGTTCCTCAGAGAAATGAAAGTACTAGAGTTGCTTCACTGTCTATAAATACAAGAGTCACTCTAAACTATCTTAGAAGACAAACACATTTGTAGACATCCAAACCGCTTTTTAAATTATTTTTTCCCAATAATTAGCACTAATTCCTGACAATATACATGTACAGCTGACTCACTGCACAGCACTAAAAAAGAAGTAATCTTCAGTTATCTTCAGTTATTCAGTTCATTCACAAGATTTCAGTTATATAAACCCAATTTAGGTTGGGAAATCAGAAAGGAGAAACATAGCAAATCTAGAGAACATTTCGGGAATTAAGCAATAAATAACATGACAGGACATAACATCTAGGAACAAGAAGTAATTGTTTCATTGAAAGAAGAAAGGCATGTAGATTGTTCTTACAGGACCTTGTTAACAGGTAACTTGTTACATCTGTGTGAGATGTGACTCCTTCCATTCTCCACAAGAAGGAAAAGTTCTTTGCATCATTTCTTAATAAATTCTTCTATTACCAATTCTTCTGTTCACCTATTGCAAATGTAGTTAACCTGTCAGCAGAGATAGATTGTGGATTGATTATATTTCTATTTAATATTTACAGTTTTATTAGGTGTTATTGCAGTATTTTCCCAGTCAAAGAGTATTTCCTAGACCTCTACTACTGACCTGTACAATTCATACTGTGGATTTTGCTTACAGGCCAGCTCTCAGGTTTATTACAATCGACTTTTTATTACCTCTGTTTTCCTTTTTGTGTTTCAAATTGTTTTAAGGTAAGTCTCTGAGCTCAGTTACTCTCACTTTGAACTTTGCCACATCTTTACTCTTTACCAACAAAAAAAAAGACAAAACTTCCTTTATTTTCTTGGTGCTACCAAGATATGAAATATTTGCTTAAATTCCTCTGATATGTAGAAAATAATTGTTGCATGAGTGTTTCAGACTGTGTGCTGAATTATTTCCTTCTCTAAGGGCTTTTGACAGTCAGAAGACCTTCTTCAATGGAGATTTTATTTATTTTATTTATTTATGCATGTCAGATGTAATTTGAGGGTGACTAGCACCATTTTCTAGAGATCTTATCAACCTGTTAGATAAGTAAAAGTTAGATAAGTTAGATAAGGGGAGCAAAAAGGAAATGGAAACAACTGACAGTGTGTTCAAACAGCGCTCCACATTGGATGCTTGTTTGAGCACATATTGGATATATGAGTGGACTTTTTTTTTTTTCCATGAAGTGAAAAAAAGATGAAGGAAATTATGAAAATCTAACATATCTTTGGTAACAATTGTATTTGCTGTTTCCAGTCTCCTTTTTCTATTTAAAAATTTTGAATGCAATAATTTATGTTTTCATAGTAGTGTTGTTCAGACTAATTAAACATTGCTAAATCAGACATAGTTTTGTTAAGGAAGTCAAGAAGGAGTGGAGCCATCTGTTGCAAGGAACACACTTCATGCTGCTTGAAGACTCTGCCTCAATGTATCCTGTTCACATGCCACACCACCCTAAATACTTTAACTCATTCAACTAATGCATTTTGCATTTTGTTTTGTTTTCTCTTCAGCAATGGGTCCACTAACTGCAATTATCTTGCTGGCTGCTATGCTACTTCAATCATCTGCTGCACAGGTAAGACAATTCATCCTTGTGCAGAAGACTCATATCTGAGCCTGTAAAGATACATGTTTCATGTTTGTTTTTTTTTCCTTATCTGTCTATTAATCTTTTAAATTTTAAAGTTCAGAATTAAAATCATTTTTTTTACATGTTCTTTCCTCATTTTTATAGGATTTATGTGTTTCGTGTATAAATATTTCATCTACCTATCATATTCTCCTCTTAATTATACAGCCATTTTTAATAGACGTTCTTCCCCTAAACATAAAACAAACCACTCCTCTGAGAGGATTAACCTCATAAAATGTAGATATCTACTATGTAGACATTTAGAAGTGAGTTATTTGTCAAGATCTCATTGGTGATTAAGTTGGATTCATTTTATATAACTTGTAAATCATAAAATTTACTTTCTCTCATTTTATGCTTCTTGACCATAAAGGAAGAATGAGTTTTTTTTTTTTTTTTTTTTAATATGTACTTCTGTGATGTGGATATCTAAAGTTAAATAAGTTGAATTAATGCCTAGAATAAGCTTCATCATCAAAAAATTAGTTATTCAGATCTCAGATTCCCTGTACAATCAGTATAATAAGAAAAATGTACTTCTAGTTGATTCTTTTAGCCTTACAAAGGAATTTCATGGATAGAACTACCTCTGCCCTTTCAAACAATAACAGAGAATAAAGATGCCTAGTACAGACATTAGATTTTAGACATTAGATGGGAAGAACCCCATTCTGAGTGATGCTTTAGTCTGGAGAAAAGAAAATACAAAGTAAGCCTCGTAAGCCTTGTAACTATTTTTCTTAGCAATGATCCATAGTCTGAAATTGTTGACAGCAGACAATCAAAATTATTCATTGCTTTCTGGACTTTAGATACCTCAGAAAATGGTCTGCAAACAGCACTGATTTTTGATCCAGCTTCAAATACTGTCAAAGTTTGCAGGTGACAGAAGCATGCAAGAGTTATGAGATTTCAGTTATGAGATTTGGAGCTAAGAGAACACTGCGGGTTCCACTTAGGCTCATGTCACCCTATGAAAAGTGCAGTTCATATGAACAAAGGGAGAAAAATATCAGCAGTTATAAGAATTCAAAAACCAGTAAAACAAAGTCAAGAATTTTTCAGGAGCTTTACTTTGACAAGAAGCTAGTAATTAATGATCATTAGACCTTTGAGAACTGGGACCATCATTGCTATTTTCCATTTTAGGAGCACGATCTTCAGTACGCTTTCTTTAGTCGTTCTGGGCCTCAAAACCACCAACTGATTATTGACCAACACAATGAAATACGGAGATCTGTCGTTCCCCCAGCCACCAACATGCTGAAGATGGTAAGATATGCATTATGTTCAACCTGCATCACAAGCAGAAGATTGTATCCTTCTAAATAATGTGCATATTCAGTGAACAGAGAGCAGGAAAAATGCTCTGGATTTAAGAGATAGAGAAAACAGAATTTTATGCCCATTTTTCTGCAGGTTTGTTCTTAGTCTTGCACAATTCAATGCTTTCACTTACAAAATCATTGCAATTGTCTCACAACAGGTCCCATCTGCTACTCATAATCTTTTTCTTAAGCACCAGGTCTTAGTTCTCACAGATAGCAAAACTCGGATAGGCAGCATGCAGAATGTCCAGGAGAAGATTTATTCTATAGTGGGGTGGAAAAAGTTGTAAATGAGAATAAGGCTATTTTTTTTCCAGGTTTAAGACTTCAAAAAAGAGCTCAAGTAGCCCATGCACATGGGAGAGTCCTCCTCTGCTTTCTACTAAGCACCACAGGAATATTCAGCATACCACCCCCAAATCAATTCCTGTATTTTTCCTTCTCCTTCCTGGATGACACTGTGATCTGTATACTTCACATGTTGTGTCTTTCAGGTGTGGAATGAGAAAGCTGCCGCCAGTGCTCGGAAATGGGCGAACAAGTGTCAAATGACGACTAGTCCCCCCGAGGAGAGACTTGTTAATGGTATGTGAAAAACTTGGGAGTCTAACCTCATAGGTTTATGATGATCTGCTGATGATCTCTGCACCTGTGGATTAGAAATGAGGATAATTTTAATCAGATATAGCATATCTTTTGAGGATGATTAAATACAAAAACATCGTTCTCGCCATAGAAAGACCCTGAAAGAGAAATTGTGGAAGCTTGAGAGGGGGAGGTCCTATTCTTCTATCCTTTGTTAAGAATCTGCTTTTTGTCCCTGCTAGAGAAGGGATGGTGCAAACAACAACAACGTTTTGGTCTAAATATAGCTATTATTGTGTTACATTTTGTAGTCAAATACATACAGAGGACTTAAAGCTCACTGAAATCAGAGGAAATCTGCAGCTTTCATAGGGTCAGGTACACTGTTGTCTTCTCAAAACCACAGGGCAGACGCATAGGCCTTACAGACCATGTCTAGGATGTGAATATGTCATAGCTACCACCCTAGATATTTCTTCTTCCCTGAGTAATAAAACTGACTTACTTCTATTTTCAGGTGTCACCTGTGGTGAGAACATATTGCAGTCAAGTTACCCCAGCACATGGCCTGAAGCAGTTAAAATATGGTATAGTCAGATGGCCAATTTCAAGTATGGGATTGGACCAGTCAGAAAAAATGCCAATTTCCACAGTTACACTCAGGTATGGAAAATTGAAGTGATATACAATGATAAAATGATAGGATGATATGAGTACAATGAACTGGCAGAGTTTTACTATCAAGAAAAAGATATATGCATATATTATATATATTCTATCACTGTCATCAAACCATTATTTATCAGTCATTAACACCATACCTAGAGCCATAAATTAAAATCTTTTTGCATGTACTTCAGAGACCCTTCAACATGTGTTTAAGAAGAGTTGTTCAGAAGACAAACATGATTCACTGGAAAAAAAATATAGAAATATCTTTAATCTTAAAATAATAAGAAAAAAATAGTACACATTTTATATGTAGAGGATTTAATTTTGAAAAATTAGGAAAATATCTATGATGAAAATATTCAAACATAAACTTTTTATGTCTTACCGGAAAATGAGTTGGAAACATTTGAAAACTGGAGGACATGACTAATTCTTTTTCCTATTTATTCTCCAGAGTGCTAACCTGTGTATTTAAGAGCTAAAAACTCACAGAGAACAAAGCAAAAACCATCTTTACACTTTGCTATCTTGTGAACTCACTGATGAGGATTCAGAGAGTAAACAATGTATTTACTTTCAATTCTACAGCTAATCTGGTACAGCAGCTACCAGGTTGGATGTGCAGTTGCCTACTGTCCTAAAAGCCGGTTCAACTACTTTTATGTTTGCCATTACTGCCCTCCGTATGTACTGCTCTTTTACTTATTTAATATGATATAATTCTGGATATGTTTTAAAGGAAAAAAAAATCCCTCTGGTCCATTTGTCATGAGCAGGGTCAAATGCTTACTTTTTAAATGCTTAGTTTATTTTTACTCTGGATATTTCTGAAAACATCAGTGATATGAATTTTGACTGTGAGAAGTAGGTGAAAAGAATTATGAATTAAAAAGCAGTCAAGATATTGATCTTCATATTTTATTTTATTTCATATTGAAACAGAAATTTAGGCATCTTTCCATATGAATAAGGTCCTAGATGAGTCTAGATACATCTCATAAGCCGTTGATCACAAAATTTGACCACAAAAGGGGAAAGTTGGAAGCAAAGTGAAGGCAAATTAAAAATGAACATTTACAGGGGTAAAGAGCACATCTGTAACCCTTGTATGTTAGAACAGATCTGCTGAGGTTATTTCCTTATAATTCTCAGTGCATTTAGAAGTCTTTAAGAAAGCAGCAGTTTGGAAGCAGAAAAAAATAAAAAAAAATAAATTGTGGTGCTGTACAGAGAAAAACTGTCTATTCATTTTCTTTCCCCCATCCTTAAATCTTCCTAGCCTTTCCATTTGACATTGAGATTCATGTAGCCATAGAATATGTCAACGTAAAACATGGAAAATTGTTTTGCTCAAAAAAATGATGGAATTCTTTCATTGTGGGAAAGGATTTGAGCTTCAGTTACAGGCTCAGAGCCGCCCTTTGATCTTTCATGTTGTCTTTCTTGGACCTCCAGGGGAAATAACCCACTACAAATAACTAGACCTTACAAAAAAGGACCAAGATGTGGCGACTGTCCAGGCCACTGTGACCGTGGGCTTTGCAGTAAGTGAATCCATGTTCCTCCCCATCATTTGAGATGATAACATTGTTCCTGCGTAGATTTTTTTTATCTTTCCATGTTTCAATCCACTGCCATTCTGGAAACAAATCCCTTCATTGAACTCCCCCTTCCATTTCCTTCCTCAATGTTAGCAGTAATTAAACTCCCACTGTAATGGATAGAATGGGTAAATTGTGCCACTGTCTAGAAAACTAATGCAAAGCCATAATTGGTGTCGTGCTGCCCTCTCCTGGGAAGTGCAAGACTAAATACTGTACTAATAAAGGCATGTACAAGTTACAGAATCACAGAATGGTTGAGGTTGGAAGGGACCTCTAGAGATCATCTAGTCTAACCCCTCTGCTCCAGCAGGGACACCTAGAGCATGTTGCACAGGGTGGCAAGTTATCAGTGTGTATGTCCACATGGCCAAAAAGCCATACTCAGGCCTTCCTCTTTTGCAGACTTCATGTGGAGCAGGTCAATGTATGTAAAACTACAAGATCTATACAGGCACCAATTTTTTGACTATATTTCCATTTCTATAAAACAGAGGAAAATAATTGCCTTGCTTTGCTTGGGTTTACTGGTCTATTTAATTTCTGAAGGTTTTGCAAATATCCTGAGACCCTCAAGTAAAGAATGCCTTTTTTTTTTTTTTTTAAATAAATGTAAATGTTTTTCAGTACTTCCGTATCACGTAGTATCTCCTACCATTCAAGGTGCATTTCCAGTTTCAATGGATTTATATCAGGGATGATTGATGTTKGCATATCTTTATTTTGCTTACAATACGGTTTATATTCTTCCATACAAAATCAATATTCATGTAATCTTAAGACCAGGGCAGGGGAAACAAGGAAAACTATATAGGCTTGAAAATGAATGAGATAATACATTTTGGAAAATACACAAGTGTCAGATCAGGATCAGCTTCTCAATTCCCATTTCACATTTTTGTTTTTTGTTTTTTTTTATTTCAGCCAACCCCTGCAGGCATCAAGATATTTTCGCAAACTGCGCAAACCTGAAAGATTTGTTTGGCTGTGATTCCCCACTGCTGAAATCTAAGTGTCTTGCTACCTGCAAATGCACCACTGAAATCAAATAAAGTCCAGGTGAATGTCATTGCGGCAGCTTTGAGACGGACCTATTTGGAAGGAAGAAAACTAACCATGAAGTGTATTTGCTGTCAGCTTACCAGTCCAGACTGTGTGTTAGCATTTTTTATGAAATCACACAATTATAGTCCTAACAGCTCAAGTAACCGCTAATGTCATTTTAGGCTTAACTATCATTTGGATTACTTTTTCCCTTTTTCTTGCAGTAGAGTTTTGACTGATTAATTTCTTTTTAACGGGAATTATTCTTTTAAAACATTTTTTGTAATGTACATTAAATTTTGCTTAACTTTCTTTTGCTGCCTTGTCTTTTTTTGGTTATATATGGATTTTTTTCTTGCTAAATAAACACCTGGTTTGTCATGACCTCCCAAACAGAGCTTTTATTTCCAGTTCTTCACAATTTGGTCCTTTCATTTGGAAAATTCCTTAAGAATGTTTTAAGGTTCTTTGATTCTTTGTGCTAATGGGAATGAATCTGAAAAAGAAAAGCAAATAGAAAAGCAATGGATTCTTTTACAGTCAAACTAAGAGGGACACACAGTTTACCAAATACCAACAGTCAAGAAATAGAAAGTAAATGTAGATCATTTTTTTTCAAAATGTTCATTTACAGAAAGGGGCACATACRTTGCTTCACATCCCCTTTATGGATAATCTCTCACTTCTTGGATTAGCATTGCAGCATGGAGAAAGTATATGTTTGGAAATTGAAGACAGTCCCCACCAGGTCCTGTCTCTGGGCATCTCTGGAACCTCTTTAAGATTATTTAAGATTACTCTTTAAAAGTATTTGTTTCTTGCAGAAACATCKTTTTTTCTGATCTGTTTAGTGAGCATTGTTGTTATAATTGAACCTATTTCCATACCAGCGATATTTTTACACTGATAAAAACCTTTGAAAATGGCAGAAGCTTATTGCTTTTATCTCATCATGATTTCTGATTATCCACACTTGCAAAAGATATATATTAAGCATGGATGTCAAATGCACATTAGAAGAAGAAAATCTCTTTAGGTTCTCATTACAACCCTGTAATAGATGTTGTTCAAAGGAACTCTTGGGTAGCACCTGGAGTTTTCAAAACAGAGCAAACTGCTTTGCATTCAGCTGTTTTCAGTTTTATTTCTCTGCTCAGACACTGCACAAAATTACACCAGCAGCATTAGCATACAACAAACAACATAATTTAGGGCTGTCTTTCAGTACACAAATTCTTCATAAGGGGGACTGCCTCTATGTATCACCATTCCCATTTATCATATATGTATCATATATGCACCTTCAGTTTCAATTTTAGATGAATCTGAAATGTTTATTCYGCAGGACTGTAATTCTGGTTGCAAACACAAGAGGGTGAACCATATCCATACATTCAGCTGCATCGGTTGTTGGTTTCGATACCTACATGACGGGTTTCTCCTTTTACTAAAATTAAAGATCTTGTCCTGCCCTGATCTCATTTTAACAGTTGGTCGCATAGAATTTCTTAGTTAATACTGGATGAGTAAATAATAGCTACATATAAACATTAAAAAAAAAAAACAGTTTATGCAGCAGTTCTTACTTCTCATTGTTTCACAATGACTTTGCTGGCCAAATTTCTGTCGTATTTAAGTAATTTAACATTTCCAGGATGTCACTGGCTAGCTAAGATAGCCTTCATCTGCTATCTGTCTGAAGTGCTTTCTGCACATCGTGACTGCATCCCACTATTGATGGTTCCCAGTACTATTTATAGAAAGTGCTATAAAACAAAAGCAGGGTGAAAAATCCTAAGCAAGATATATTTTCCTCAAAAAAAAAAAAAATACACAAAATATATTATCGGAGAGTAACTAACTTTGCCAAAACTCTCAGGAAATTTCTGGGATATTTTCCAACATTAAACTTGTACTTAAAAACAGGAAGGGGGTTTTAATCATTCCCTGCACACACTTTCTTCTTCTCCTTCTCTCTCTGGCCCAAGGCACATTTGAAGAACGTTCTATTACCAGAGATTTCTGACAGAGCCTGATACGCAAACGTTCATAGCTAACCAGCTATGGCAGCAGCAGGAACCAGCAAATCTTCTATGTCTGCACATGCCACCCTGCTACACCTTAAGTCCCACTGGACCACCAATGTAGAGTATACRGACACTTTGCTTCTTGCTTTCATAGCTAATTTCAAAAGTTTCACATTGACATGGAACAACAGGTCCAGCAGGTGAGCTCTAAGGCAAAAACAAAACTGCATCCATTGAGATCTCACATGTCTTAAAATGCTTTTATACCTTCCCTTAGCATATTTTCATGAACTTACTTTTAATATTAATGACTTTAGTTTTGTTTCTGTTATGGCTCTAGCATATATATTTTGAAATGTGTGGAAATTACACTTGTAGTTGTGTTACTTTTTAAGTGTAATACCATGGAGAAACTAATAACACCAAAGATATGTCTGTACATTTGTATTCTGGTTGCAGATAGACTCACAAGTAGCACATATGCTGAAAGATGATAAGCGCAACAACTACGGTACAAGTGTAAGTCTTATCTACAGAGAATGATGTAAGAGCTCTTAAGCAAATGACTTAGGTGAGAAGCACTTCAAACACCGAGTTTTGAAAAAAGCTATGAAGTCACATATCCCAGTTTTATGGCTAAGGAAGAAGGAATACTTCGGATATTTATCATAAGCTAAGTGCAGTATCCATGCTACCTCTTTGAGAGGAGTAAGAATCAGGCATTTACTCTGGCCTAGGCAAAACAGAAAAAAATATTCACTTTCACTTTCACAGATACTTGCTCACTGTCATGGGCTTAAGAGTTTCCCTGTTTTTCTCTATTTTTTTTCTGATAAAAAGAACTCTTCCATCAATCTTTGATCACTTAAATTTTGAATGTACCACACCTACAATAACATCAGGCTAAGTAACTAAATATAAGACTTCAAAGTAGTGAAAAACAAGTTTTGTTAACTCCAGAGAGTGATTGAAGCCATCATGCCAAACAGGAGTTATTAAGGATCACAAGCTGAAACAGATCCCACKGGGATCTGCAAGAGATATATGCATGCCTCTTTCCACTGACCAGAGATGATTAATTTAGACTAGATGACTAACTTTTAGAGATGCAAACTTAGATGAAAACAGGGCAGACTTCAAAGCTGAGGAGATGAGAACTTGCTCCCCAAATGAAGTTGAGACAAAATATTTACCTGCCCAAAATGGTGCATCTAACTATAGGCATCACAAGACAACTTTCAAAAATGTTCTTTCACATATTCACATCTGATACCGCATTTCCTTCYTATATACTATTTTCCAAATTATCTGTAGCATCGGAGGACACACTTGTCACTATTTCTTCTGAAATCCTTATTCTGAGGCACAAAGATGTTTGGATCCCCACCTTGGCCTTGGCCCTCACCTTAGGTCTCTTTTTTTCAGCCTCAAGTATCCTTCCAGGTTGAGTTGAAACACACACACAAGCATGCATGCTTGAGGTGCCATTAGGAATTTGGGTCCTCAGGGCATTGGATCAACTCACAAGAAATGGAGCTGTAGGAAGATGCTTGAAYAGGGCCATGCAGCACAGGAGGGTCACAGTGAGGATCTGCAGGATGTTCCCAGCTCCTGGCCTGTGACCAGCACTTCTAGACCAGGCTGCCAAGAAAATAGATTCCTCCAAGTGAACTGAAAAACAAGAGATAGGACTTTCTCATTAGAAAGTCATCTGATAGCTACTGTTTCCACTCTGGGCTGCAAGGAAGACATTTAACCTCTTGTGCTCCATTTTCAATTGCAGCACAGAGATAAACTGGATACTCAGAGGCTGGCAAGATTAATTAGTGAATGATGAGAAAGAGCCCTCAAAGACTGTTAATTATAATATCACATTGTATAGGCACACCTCCAGCATAATTATATCTTGGTTTAACCACAAGACAAGGGGACGCTGCTGGGAACAAGGAGACAGAAGTAAGGAAATGCTGCTCCCCTCTGCACTGACCTGCCAGTGATGTTCACAACTTCCCGCACTGATTGCACCGGCTTAGGGGTCTGGTTTGAGGTCTCAGCTGTACACTGGGACTAACAAAGATATTCTGACTCCAGAAGTAAGTCTTGCAAAAATGTTGTTCTTCAGAAAAGTTATGGTGGAATGGAAATATTTTCACATGCTTTAGTGAAACTGCCCACATTAACTTGTCATTGCACTTACTAATAAACAAACCAATGTGAAAATGGCTCTTTACGCTGCTTGTTAGCATCAGAATTTTTTTTGCGTAGTAACTGAAATTATGTTTCCAAGTCAAATGGTGTGTTTCTCTTTTAGTTTTGCCTTTTAAACACTCCTCTGCACTCTCCTCCTCTGACATACACATATAGCAGTAAAGTAGGACTTGGAATCTATGTCTAACTGTAATATGCTATATTAATGCATTATACACTATATAATTTCACATATTTTAAATGTGTGTGGATCTCAGAGGGGTTACCTGTTCCATCATTTTATATAAGTTTAATCTTTCATTACATCTAAGATAACTCTTACTGAGTTGATACCAAAGATAAAATGTTAAGTTCTTTCCAAAATCATTCAGGAGATGAAAGGCAAAGATAAAAATAAGGTCAAGTCTCCAGGCTCCTGGTCGTTTCTCCATTAGCTGCCTTCCTTCAGGCTACTGCTATTCTATACCTATGGAGATGCTCAGAGCATTGTGTTCCACTAAAATTCATCTTATCCAGCTTTAGATGACTGCAAGGCAGTAGTCTGCTTTTGAGACAGATTCCTGTACATTCCTTTTACAGCCAATGGAGAAAAAATGCCATCACTCAGCTCATTCCTCTCACTCTAGGCAGACACCTAAAATAAATCTTGCTGCAGAGGAGTTTTTTTTTCTCCATTCAGTAGASAGTCTCTACACTGGGCAATCTCTAGAAGTTCTGTGTCCCAGTTCTGTGTTGCACACAGGTGYGGCCTCACCAGAGCTGAGTAGAGGGGCAGAATCACCTCCCTTCACCTGCTGGCAACATCCTCCTGATGCAGGCCAGGATCCCATTGGCCTTTTTGGCCACGAGGGCACACTACTGACTCATGATTAACTTGATGTCCACCAGGACTCCCAGGTCCCTCTCTGTGGACCTGCTCTCGAGCAGGTCAACCCCTAGTCYGTACTGGTGCCTGGGGTTCTTCTTCCCCRGGTGCAGGACCCTGCACTTGTCCTTATTGAACCTCATGAGGTTCCTCTCTGCCCARCTCTCTAGCCTGTCTAGATCCCTCTGGATGGCAACACAGCCCTCTGGAGTGTCAGCCACTCCACCCAGCTCATCCACAAAGTTGCTCAGGGTGCCCTCTGTGCCCTTGTACAAGTTGTTGATGAACAAGTTAAACAGCACTGGGCCCAGTATTCACCCCTGGGGGACAGCACTGGCCACAGGCCAAGTCAAATGACACAACAGAAGAGACTTTCCTTCCTCATCCTGCCACACATCAGAAAATGGAAAAGTGTCCCTTTTTTTCAGTAGACTCTTAAAACTGTGCTCTCTTTTCAGGAGTATTTTCCTAAAATTCGTATATCAGGAGATCACCTGTAATCACAAAGAACTGGTTACTGCAGATGGGCTTTTAGGAAAGAGGGTGAGAGGGGAGGGTTATTTTTCTCTTTTTCTATTGTATAGATGGTAATGTATTAATAATGCAAAACTTTGATTAAAAGGAATAAAGCTGAAAGACATTTGAGCTTTAGCATGAACATTTAATATCCTGGAAATTAATCAAAACTAGACAGTTTAATCATTCGGTTTAATCTAGATGTGCTTTTCAGGATTCACCCCTGGTTTGTGACTTACAGGCAAGTTCCCTGTACATTTTTTCACTCATATTTCATACACATTACTTCAGGCTGATATGGATCACAAACTTTGATCAGTATTGCTGGGGAGCTTACAGGGGAAGGAGCCCAATGCCTCGTAATATCTTTCAGCATGAAGAGGCCACCCACAGACTTCTGAGCTACCCACTGTGTCACCCTAGTTACAAGCTAAGCCCAGTCTCAGACTTCAGTCCTTTTGGAAAAATGCARTCGCCTCTCAGTTTTCCAAGGTATGCACCTCACATCTTGCAGCTCTTGGCCATATGATGATTTTAATATGCAGCTTGTAAAGAGATGGAGGTTTGCCAGACATGGACTTAATTTTTCATACCTTCCATCTGTCCTAATAAACCAAGTTAGGATGTTGCAGAAGATCAAAGCTCAGTGGACAGCCCAGTTGAAGGCCATGGGAGGCTTAGACAAAAGCAAAGTGAGAACATTCAAATGCAGTCTGATTACTATGGATGTTTTATTGGGGTATTTTGTCAGCTCAGAAGTGTGAAGATGTTTGACCCTCTACCATTTTCATTTTGGATAAATCCCAAATGTGAAGAAGCTTATAACAGAAATGATGCCCTTAATGAGACATTCACTTTTTAGTATTGCAAACTGATGTCATCAAATGAGCACTTTCATTAGTATGAGGCGTATATCCAGATGGGAAGGAGTTGGCAGGATGCTCGATTGGTAGTGTATGACTATGGACATCTCATCTCTCTGTAGATTAACTCAAATTTATGCTTTATTTTCACTCTTTGATAAACAGGGCAATGAGAGTCTAATGGATGCAAGATTCTGTCCATAAATACTTTCAGGAAATATAAAAGTCTATTAACTATTTGTAGCAACAGTGTAGGTCAGAGCTAGTCAGTTAGTCAGTTACTCAGATAAGGCCCAAGAGGAAGATCTGGAAACGACTATTTTCCATTGGCTCCAACTCTATGAGCCCAGTAAGGTACTACATACTTTGTCCTGATCCAGGTCAGAATCCAGGCATCTGAGACAGYGGCAGGAAATGAAGGAAATGCCCCATCTCTGGAAATTTGGMAAAYCTGGGCACATTTTGCTTGCAAGCCTATTCCAGATCAAAATCAGGTTTTGAGTCTCCTCCCTGCCATTTTTTTTCCAAAGCAGGCACTATTGTTCCAGAGTGGTGGTTATCTGGCAGGTTTCCTGGAATTCTGCAGCTTAGTGATTGCTGAAGAGCTATTGTTGCAGCCTGACAAGCTTTGTTTACCACTTAKCATACTCATAGGGAGAGCTGAACCTTTTTACCCTTTCTTTTTCCTCAGGCATCTAAACTGAAATTAATTCTTTGTGTGAATACACTGTGTTAGCCCTCCATTCCCTTAGGTAGGCCTGTTCCTAGAGCATAGCTTACCCAGAACACAACCCTCCAGACTTTCCAAAAGTCTTTTAGAGAAATCAGTTTGCCTGTATGCACTGTATGGAGAAATTAAAGCAGTCCTTAATTAAAATACTTTTTTCTTCTGTTCATTCTGTGTGTCTGCTTGAAGGAAGAATAATCTTCCTTCAAAAGCTCATAAGCCCATTGGAAGCAATGTAATTGAGTGAGTSTGATGCCTTTCTATGAGATAAAACGAGACATATTTTATCTGCCAAAAGATGCATCCAAACACCCCACTGCCATTTACAGTGAATTTTTGATGGTTATCTTTCTRTTTTAATGATGGCACTTGACATTGAGAAAATAAAGATAACCTGGCAAGGTTTCTTGCAGTCCTGAAGCAAACTTCTCAACAGAGAGACTGATCCTTTGACATATCATTTTCATTTCAGCAGCTTGAGGACAATGTCTATACTTAAGACACTAGACTTGGAGCATAAAAGAAAAGAATTCTGGTGCCAAACATCTTGAGACTCCATCAGGCAAGCATACCTGAAAAAAAAATTCTGGGTCTGACTCTCACACTGATGAGTTCAATACCTTTCTTTACTTCAGTACTACATCTCTCAGGCAGGAGCATCAACCTCAAGCACCTCTACAGAGGAAAATCTGCTTTATTAATTGCGGAACTGTTATAAGAAACCCCAGGAAATCACATATTTTTGCTGCTATTGCTGGTATATTATGAGAAAGGACAGACAAACAACAGGTGTTACTTGGACATCATGAGAGAACATGGACCAAACAGCAAACATCGGTTGAAGGCGAAGGTAAGGACCACTGTATCTTCAGGGAACCAGCTGAAACTGCACAATAGGACCAAAACAGGGCCTCCGAGCCAAAATGAGGCCATATTTGGAAGTGAGTTCCCAGAGGTCAGTGAATGGACACAGAAAGACGATCACCAGGGGTCTTGGAAGTCCACCAGAGACCACCAAAGGGACAGAGGGTGCATGCATGCGTGAGGGTGGGCTATCTTGTAATTAATTCTAGGAAACAGAATGAATATGTATGATCATTCCAAGAATTTAATGCATATGTAGATAATAGAGAAATAAAAGTTTGGATAAACGCACCTTAGGGCATGCACGATAGGTGGAGCTATCCCCTGTCCATCCAGTGCTGCAATCAACTGATGCCTGCTTCTTAATACTACATTGGTGTTTAGAGGTTTATTCCTGGTTTTCAGTGACAGAATGACTGTAACAAAAATGTGCATCACGTATTTCTGGAAAACAGAAGAACTAATGCCATTTTACAAGATCCCAGAAAGAAATGTTCTCAAATCCTATTTACAATTCAGGTTATTTATGCTCAAGTGAACTGATATTGAGCCCAGTATGAACAAGCATTAACACATGTAGAAAAACAGACAGCCTGCAATACTGTCTGAGAGAAAACTAAAGAGCCTGCATTAGAAAAAGCAAAAGCTGAAAGAAAATATATATTTTTTTCTCTRTAAACATCAGGATTGTTGAATTAAGAACTGTTTGACCTGCCAGATATTTTTGTCATAAGAAGAAATTATATATACTTTCTATGAATAAATTTAAGGGAGAAGTCAGCTCCTAAATGTTAAAACTGGAAAAAATGACAACAGCTTTCCAGTTGAATTCAGCAAATGAAAATACCCAGAACAGACAAGTTCTTTGTGATGGAAAAGGTAGAGAATACAAGTCAAAATAAATAAGGTGTTGAAAGCTGTCGCCATGCTTCTTCCAAAGATTKCATTGGCTGTTTGTTCATGAGGAAATCAGTTCATAAAACAGTCTAGGAAAGAAAGAAGTAGATGCAGGAAGAAAAAGAAATGGGTAAAGAATGAGGTGAGATCTGGACCCTCTGGAGAGACCCTGGGTGTGTTCCATCTATGAAAGCTGATGGACCCTATTACCAGAACCAAGCTCTGCCCATGGTGTTCATATCCATCAAGAATGTGTCCAGTCCATGCCAGTAAATTTCTTCAATGAGCACTATTTTCAGACAGTTGCTGAAAGTACCACTCTTTAAAACATTGTGAAAGGTGAGAAAACACTTAGACAAGATGCTGCTCCAGCATAAGCTGGACCAGGATAAACTGCAACCATCACTTCTGCATAGCTGACTAACCTTCTGCGTAAGACTAACCTTTTTGTCATGAATACATATAGCAAAGGGTAGTTTTGAAGCAAAATAACAATCCTGACCATTTGAACACATCTTTAGATAAACTATTTTTTTCTTTAATGTCTCAAGTCAAGCTTAGTTATTTGGAGCTTAATTTATTATAATTGCGTTCCCGTCACTGTCAATCTAGCTCTACAGACAAGTTGAATAAACCAGTATGAAAAAAAATTGTCCAGCCTTATATGAGCTATTTAGCACTGCTAAGCATTTAGTTCAGATATACCTGGAAACTGACGGGTATCCCATGAGTTGAGGGAAGGGATGAAAACRTTATTTCTTTTACAAGCCAGTGTGAAAACTTCAGATATTGGACTTTTTCCTTGAAATATTTTTCCTGATAGGCYTCATTTATTTGCTTTCAATTCATGACAGTACATCCAGTGTTGGCTTGTCTCAGATGGAGTGTTGTATTTTAGAAACARACTTGGGTTGAAGTTGTTCATTGAATTTCTGCTTGGCCCATTGCAAGGAAATAATAAATTAATCTTGTCAGTTCAATAGCACAGGACTACTTCTCAGTATTCTGTGATTTAGTACTTGTTTCCTGGTAACTAGAAATAAAAATTAAAAAAAAAAATGTAAATTAATTATGAAGGTCACAAATCATGTCTTCCATTAGAACAGTATTCAAGCTATAAATAAAGAAGTTTGTACTTACCTAATATTCAGACAACTGAAAGAGMTGTTAGTTGAATAGAGGGAAAAATAAGAATATGGGTGTTTCTTGCATGCATTTTTTAAAATACAGCTTGTTCTACTTACACTAGTACTTACACTCACAACAAGGCAGTACAGATCAGAATTGGTGGCTCTCTTGAAGCAGTCAACATAGGCAAAATATATGTATTATAGTAAATATGAGTTTCTAACTTGTGGTGTGCCCCAGAGTTTACCGTAACTGTTAAGTCATTAATATCAGATAGTTATTTTCTCTTTGGCTTGAAAAATCCCCAAGTAGGTCAGACCAATTATTTCATGCATAACAGCTAAATGGCGTCTTGCTGTTTTACCACTAAGAACATTAGAACACGGCCTCTGAGAGGTTGATGTTTAGATAAATGATGATAATGCTGCATGTAGCAGGAGGTCTTCTGGGATAAGCTCTCTGGAGCCTATTTGTTATGGTCTCAGTCTGCAGACACCCTCTTCGGATCTGGCTGCTATGGATGAATTGCTCCACAAAAGTAGCACTGGGAGCGATATTAAGCAGAGAAACTGAAGTTAACATATCTTTTGATTGGGAAGTATTCCCTAACCACCCACTCTGACTCTTGGTGCATGCATTGCAATTACTGCTGCAAATTTAGTATTATGTATCTTGCTTAGGATATCTGTACCATTTGTGTACTCTGCAAGATTTAGTGGAGAGGGAAGTACTTAACCTTCTCAACGGGAGGGCAGAGTGAAGTGGCAGTGATAGGAATATATCCTCTTGCTGAAACGGAGAGCATGCCGATATTGCTGTAATCACTATTTCAGAGATGTAGCTTCTCCTATAGCAAATGGAGCATACAGGGCCTCTGCAGGAACGGCACAGCACTGTACAGAGCAAGACTGTAACTGTGGAAGAACAGTGGGGGAGAGGAAAAGGAGGATTTATAAAGCTGGAAGAGGTTGATCTAATTTTCAGCAAATGTGGAAATGCATATAGCACCTGTGTGTCATTTTATAAAGAAAGGGGNAATACTAAGACTCAGAAATAGATAGAAAATAACAAACCTAAGATAACAAACCTAAGAGAGAAACAAAATTTACTGGGCCACAACACAAAAATTGCAATCTATTTTGTCACAGACAAGGCAAACAGATATGCTCTATTGCAGTTACAGAGCCTCATGACCTCCTTATTTTTCCAAAGCATTTTTCTTTGCCATTAAGTCCTTGTAGATAAACAAATCTCCACACTTGTACAAACCTGATAGTAGAAAAGAGGGAGGGGAAACTGAGGCAAACCGGTTGATCATTGCAATTATTAATGTGGTACATAAGATCTCTGAATAAGCCCTGAAAAATGTCTCGAATTATTAGGCTAACAAAATTGTTGTCTAGATAACACTTTCTAAGATGTGGAATTTGGAAGTAGCAATTAAGTCATGGAAAAATTCCCCTGTGAAATGAAATTGCCAGAAAAGAAAGGAATTGGTGATTCCTAAGAAAGTTAAATCCAATAAGGGAAATCAGTGTATTACAAAATCTGTGACTTCCAAAGAATCTGGACTGAAATAATCTAAAATATTTCCTAAAAGTACTCATCCAAACCTGAAAGTCCCTGTGAACTTTATCACAACTGACAGATAGAAGCTGAAGCTATGTTGGCAATTTCTTTGCAGAAAAAGGRATTCCATAGTAATCTTGAGATAAATGGGAATTTGGAAAAATTCAGAACTTTCTTCACACTTGGAAATAGACTTCAAAACTCTGTGAAGCCAACTCGGCTAACTTCTTAGCTAAACCAGCTCAGAGATGTCTTCTAAACGATGTTGAAAAATCCTCATTTTCACATGCACCTTTCCAGTTTTTCTTTTTTTCTTTTAACCACTGTTGAAAGGTAAGCCTTTGCCTTGGTAGAATAATAATTGCTGTCTCCATTTAAATCTCACCCAGTGTTTTGGGTTTGTTTTTCTTTGGTGGTTTGATTTTGATTCTCATGAATATGGCAAAAATTGGGCAATGCTGTGAAGGCATATGTCACCCAAGATGAACTTGGGGGGATCTTTTGAAGTGGTGTATTTGGGAAAAGTAATGTCATGAAAAGCCAATGGAGAACAAAAATCTTCTCCTTTTCCACATCGAACGGTCCTTCCTTGTGCTTTTCTGGCAAGAGTAGCGTGAACACAGAGGCATACAGATTTCTCCTCAGCTCTGTATTGTATTTTGCACCATCGAGACAGCTCTCAGTGGGCAAAACCAATTGACATGATACYTTGCCTTGTCTGAAGTAACCCAGGCAGCCCTTCCCAGCCCTTCCCACAAGCTTAATACCAGTTTGCAAGGGGCATAATACTGGCAGCAATAGCTTCTCCACCGGCTGTAATGCCCAGATAAGACTCAGCATAGAGGTCTGATGGAGAGCAACAACACCACTTGCTTTAACATGGGAAGCATACGATTCATCATAAATGTTTTTTCCAAGTAGCATCCCTGACTTTAAGCCTTAATCTAATTTATATAATTTCCCATTGTTTTGTCAAGAAAACAGGTAGAGATTTAAGCTGTTCATAAAGCATCCATCTACCCTGAAGTAGTTCTTTTTTTTTATGACGAGAACAGTACGAACTGGCTCTTGTGTGAGGGAGAATGAGCCCCTTTATCTATTATAAGCAGCTTTCCAGCCACWCAGGGATACACCTCAACCAATAGTTTCTGCCTGTGCATTCTGTTCCTTCTTTGCAGTGCCAATGAAGTATAAGTAGAATATAAAACAGTGAAGTCTTTAAATCTACCCTGCTTTTTTTTTTCTACACAACTCACAAGCTTGATTAGACAAAATTCTCCATTTAGCCCTCTCCAGAGGGCTAAAAGAATGAAAAAACCCGCCTCGTCTTAACCTCTATAAGGTCTTTTTGTGCTGTACAAAGGAAATGTCCTGTACAGCAATCAAGCGATTTCTTCTGAAAGAGAAAGTCTGTATAGTTTTAAACAGAAAAAAAAAAAAAAAACCAGTTATTTCAGTAACAGCCTGTAACAACCAAATAGATTAAACTATGGTCTTTCTGTTAAGCCGTGACTATTGTTTGTCCATTATATTTCCCATCTCTTGCTTTGCAATCTCAGTGTTAATGTTTCTGCTTAGAAATTTTAAAAGTGGGGCATTAATAGGGGTAGAAAAACTTTTTTTTTTTTTTTTTTGGTCATACTTTGTAAGAAATTGTGCAAGAGGTTAGAGACYTGCACGGAGGGTAAGAATCTAGTCAAGACAAATTAGTTTTTGCTATCCAGGGAGTCAGAAAAAAACATTCAGTGTCATTTTCCTCTCCAAAGTGAGGGAAGCTACTTAAGCAATACATGGACAAACTGCAGTTATTGAACTGAACTTTGAACTCAGGCTGGAGCAGGATTCTTTTTTTCTCTCAGTCCATATCAGAAGTCAGCCAAGGGTGAGAAACTTCTATAAGTTTATTACAAGGTTTGCAATGGTATCTTTCCGTAGGTCATTCTGCAATGTTTGAAAGAATAAAAGAACTTTTTTTAATGACATATCAGACATTCTAATAAAGATGCTAATTCAGCCTAGAAGTTCTGCCTTGCATACATTTTTACACTATTACAGATGCAACATACCATTATTATTCATCTTCTCTAAAATTCCTTCTRTGTACTGGAATACAATTTATTCTTTCTTTCTGAAGCCCTAATCATATGAAGCTCAGCTGTGTATGCACAGGGGGTCATTTATCTGTGGCTTCTGTGCACAGCTAAACTCTTTTCTCTTTATGTGACCAAAAAAAGACATATAWATATATATGTGCACATGCAAGGGATGAATTACTGCTAAGCAAACAAGAATGAGCTTGACAAGGTCTTGAAATTCTCAGATGAGAAGAGTGGACTCACCTGACTTAGTTTTCTAAAAATTATATAGGTAAGTCTGAGCTATTCACCGAATAATCATACTCACCAAATTATAATCAACATGTAATTTAAGATGTAGTGAAATATTCTTGGGCAGTTCTGCTTAAATTAGCTTGGTTTGACTGAGTTCTAAATTTAAATAATCCTCTTTCTCAGTAAGAGATCAACCAGGAGCCCTTTCTGCACTCTTGAAATAATTTAACAATCTTGAGCATTGTATTTACTGCATATGAGATTTTCACGCAGGAATAATTATATAATGAACCAAAAAAATATGTAATTGTGTTTAAGATTACAAGTCCCAGGGGAAAATTCTTTTCATTTTTGAATAGTTGAGATACTTACGGTTGAATTTAAAGAAAAAAAAAAGCTTTTATAGAACAAAGAATTTTATTCATGATTTTGCACCTTTTTAACAACTTCCTATAAAAATGAAGTGGTTAGCAGCTCCTTACAATCAAACACAGAAGTCTGCCTTATCCTGTCTTGCAGTAAGGCTAATCAATACAGCTTTTAAGAAAGCTGTGCTTCCTCTCTTTTAACTGTTCAAATGAAATATAGTTCCTAAAATGAAAATGTAGACATTTTAGCTTTGCAAGTGCAATATTTTGCTAAGTCTGCCTTGCTAAGAATCTTCTTTTCCATTTGAAAATATCTTAATTTCCATTCCTTTTCAAGGGTCTGAATGGAGCCAGAGGCTGCACAACAGTGCCCAGCTGTACACTAAATGAATACATATTTTTTAGTCTCATGAACTGTGTGAGCACCTTTCCAATAATAGCTGGAATCCAATTTCCAATAGGACTGCAGCCTGAGATAGTATCATCTCGCAGCAGCTGCAGACTATGTCAGTTTTACACCCAAAAGTTGGTATAGCTGCTTATTCCTGTATCCTAGCAGTGCTACTAGTTGATCAAATAGTTTTCTACTGTGGTACTATCAGTCTTTTTATGTTTATGTCTTACTCCTACAATGCAATTTTGGTCTTTATTTTTATTCCTAGATGCCTAGCACCTTCGTTAGCTACATTATAGGTAGAGAAAATTCTGCCTAATTTTACAAGTCCTACAGATAGGAATTATTATCAAGGAATTATTTCATTCATTATTTACTACCAATATTTTTCTGGTGCATTCTGGCTCAAGAATTAGACTTTCCATTTTCATTTTTATATTACCATGTGATCTTCAATATTGAAATTCCACCTGAAAAAAGTGTATATTCAGATGATGTTTAAATATTTTTAATCCTATTCTGTATACTGAATTAACAGAGGGGAGAGACGGTACTATAGCAATAACATAGCCTATCCCAAAAGCTACAAAACTTTAAAGATTCTACAGAAACTCTGATGAGCAATATGAATATTCAAAATATATAATCATACTCAGATTAATCTCGGTGAAATTTAAGGTGCTCCTTATTCATGAGAACATTTACACATCGAAGTTGACATTTTAAAACTTTTAAAAAGCTTTCTAATCTAATCTGATTGTCTGAGCTAAGAGAAATGAAAAAAAATCAAAGTTGAAAAATAAATCTCTTCTTCATGTTTCTCTTTTTTATAATAATCTACAGCTTCTATAGTTTTGTTTTTTAACAACTACAAACATCCTTTCTTCTTTTTRAGATGCATTATTATTTTCTTTTTAAGCAACTTGTGCTGCATTTATGCATATTTCACTATGAAATGAAAGTGCTTCTGCACTTCACCGAAACAAATTCACTTTGTTTACTTATTCTATTGCCAAAAGATAGATTATCCACATTTCACATCATATGAAAAATAATTTACCTATTTAAAATTAAAGCTACAAATTGGAGAAATTATTGACTACAGGAAACACAACAGGCTACAGTTGTGTTTCGTATTATGTGTAGCAAATCAGGAGATGCAAGATCTTCTTCCAAGGTGTTATTTCCTTAAAATTATATACATGTATCTATAAATATATATATAAAAGATACTGAGGAGTATATTCATGAAT